AGGACGAATTGGAATTAAAAGACATTTAGTGAGAACGAAATATGGAAGAAAGAGATTATACTTTTTTTTTGGATAGGCATCAATCTTATTCTAGAATTGATTTTTTCTTAATTACTAATGATTTCTTTTCTAGGGTGAAGAATATTAAGATTTTTCCTAGGACACTGCCAGATCATAGCCCTGTATGGATGGAATTATTTGCTGAAAAGGGGAATAGAAGAACTTGGAGATTGAATGAAAATTTATTTAGATATGATATAAACTTGCAGAAATGTAGGGATCAATTGAAAGAATTTTTTTTGTTGAATATGCATAAAGATACCTCAATTTCAATGGTCTGGGACGCTAGTAAAGCATATATGAGAGGTATTTTGATTTATATGAACAATGTTTATAGGCGTAAACAAATGCAAAAACGAAAAGAGTTAGAGGAAGGAGCGACCCAAACTCTGTTAGAGCTTTAAAGATAATAACCAACACCTTAAATTGGACCCAGAACCAAACTAGCAACCAGCACAGCTCATGTAACAGTGGTATTATATAACTGCACCACTGTGTTTGCTACCAGCTGTAGCTTACGAATACTCTTCAAAGGTAGTCCCAAGTAGACCACATTGCAGCAATCCAACTGAGAGATTACAAGGGCATGAGAGACCATGCACAGATACTCACAATCCAGGAAAAGGCACAATTGGCAAATAACATGAAATTACACAAAGGGTCTCCTAGCCTCGACTGCCATCTGCTCTTTCAATTGGAGTCATGGGTCTGGAAGAACCCACAAATTGCAAACAGGATCTGTCTGGTAAAATGCAGTCCACTCAGAACTAAAGATGATAAACCCTTAGATCCTTGAGTCCTTTTGAACTCACAGTGACTCCATCTTACCAAAAGAAGTTATAGGGATGACATGATAGCAGTGTTCCAGTTTTTGAGGGGCTCCTACAAAGATGAGGAGGTCAAACTATTTTCCAAAGCACCAAAAAAATCTACAGGATTGGAAAAAATTGCAATTATCGATGTTAGGTAGGATTTCAGTTATTAAAATGAATGTACTTCCTAAGTTTTTATTTTTGTTTCAAATGATACCAGTTTTGAAGAAGGATGCTGGATTAGATGAATGGCAAAAGGGTATTAATAGGTTTATATGGTCAGGAAAAAAGCCAAGGGTGAAGTTTAAGATTATCCAAGATGCACGGGAAAGAGGAGGGCTGAAAGCCCCAAATTTGAAATTATATTATGATGCGGTGGTATTTACAGCAATTAGTGATTGGGTGAATGTAACTAATAAGAGGATGCTTAGTTTAGAAGGATGGGATTTGTTATATGGATGGCACGCATACCTTTTTTAATAAAAAGATGGATAAGGCATTTAAAGCCCATATTTTAAGGTATGCGTTGCTAAGAGTTTGGAGGAAATATTATAATAGATTGAGTTATAAAATTCCACTTTGGGCTGTTCCTGAACAAGCAATAGAAGGGGTCACTAGAGGAGTAAAGTTAGACACAATAACTTATAAAGATCTATTGATGTGGGCTGGTCAGAATTGGGAGCTTAAACCAATAGAAGAACTATTGGAGGAACAATTAGTAAATTCCTGGTTCCAATATAATCAGTTAAAGGCAAGATGGCAGATGGACAGAAAGGTGGGTATAACACCTGAAGATATCAATTTAATTAAGCAAATTAAGGATCAATCAAGGGCTCATATAAAAAGAATATATAATGTTTTAATTGAATGGGATTCTGAAACAGAATTGGTAAAGGATTGCATGATCAAATGGGCCCAAAACATCGAAGAAACTATAATGTTGGATACTTGGGAGAAAATTTGGATCAGGAATATTAAATTTACACAGGCACAAAATTTACGGGAAAATTTTTACAAAATGTTTTACAGGTGGCATTTAGACCCACAAAAGTTATCATATATGTATCCTAACTTACAGCCCAAATGTTGGAGATGTGGAAGTCTAGAAGCATCATATTTTCATATTTGGTGGTCATGTAGAGAAATAAAGGCATTTTGGATCCAAATATGGTGGATTACTCAAAATATTTTTAAAAAGAAAATAAAATCACACCGCAGCTATTTTTGTTAGGGATAACCGAAGATTTAAATACTCAAGAAGTGATTTTGATGTTAAATCTTATTACTGCAGCAAGATTATTAGTAGCCCAATACTGGAAACAAAAAAATTTGCCCTCAATGGATGAATGGAGAAATAAGGTTTCTAATCTGGCGGAGATGGCAAAAATCTCCGCGTATTTGAAAGACCAATATCAGGAAAAATATATTAAAATATGGGAAAGATGGATAGTTTATATACAGAAGAGATATGAGATAAAAAATTACCATGTAGATTATGAATAAAAAATTTTCTTATGTTAGTAGAACAAATGTTATGAAGGGGGTTAAAGAAATTAGGATGTTGTTTGTTTTAAAATTAGAGAGTATGGTAGATAAGTTGTGGATATTATAATGGTTTGGTAACCCTGTGTTCAGTTCTGGGAAGTGAGGGAGGGGAAGGGGGGGAAGGGAGGGGAAGGGGGATAATGGGGTGGGGGGAGAGTCGGGATGGTATTATAAGTATGCATTAATAGTTATATAACTAAAATGTGTGATGTTAGAATTGAAATGTATGTATGTTAATGCATTTTATGTTTGAAAGATGTATAATTTTTTCTACTTTAAAAATAAAAATTTTCAAAAAAAAACCAAAAAAAAACACAGTATATACATTTTTTGTATTCCTCCAGTTGCATTTGTCTCTTGGCCATTTTCAACATCCTCAACTGCTCCATAAACCATTGGAGTCTTGGAAGCGATGGGCCAAGAGAGGGCACATGGGCACAATCCTGTCCAGGCTCTGGCCAGAGCCTCCACAGGGCCACACAGCAGATCCTCCAGGACAATCCCACAGCTCCTTCTGGAATCTGAATGGTCCATCAGTCATCAAGAAGGGACTATGTGAATAGGTCCAGCCTCCCTGCAGAAGGGGCAGTGCTGGAAAATCTCATGGACACCACTGTGTAGTCTGATCATGACAGAGGGAATAAGATCATGTCTTGAGTGTGTCCACTGTCCTGGGTTGGGCCATGGATAACCTGAGAAGGCCACCTTGGGGCCTGCCCCTGGCACATGTTTATATTCGTACCCATCACCACTTGAATTGGTTTTCCTGCCCTAAACCCTGTGAGATGATCTTCTACCTCTAACCTGACCTCCCGCTGTGCTGGCAGACCTTCCATTCTGCCAGTCATACAGACCTCACCCAATGATGCAAAGGTAAGTGACCCTTTGACTGTACCTCTCATTGCTGATGGGAATCCTCACACTCCATAATCTCCACACACACACTCAATGTATCCCCACCTTGAACTGGTCTCTCCCACTGGCCAAACAGAGGAGACCATATTCACACATATAGGCCCTTCTCTTCTCACACCCGGGCAAAAGGGTAGCAAGCACACAATAGCAACATATTTAGATGACCCCTATGCTCTCAATCTATCAATGTTCTTCAAAGTATCTGTCCTTGTCCTTCAAGCTATTGCTAGTTTCTGGGCTCTATGTGTATTGGAATTCCAAAGTTTGCAGCCACAACCTAGCATTCAACCCCAGTCACTAGCTCATTGACCTTTATGCTACCACTGGCCCTGGTTCTCTTTACCAGAAGGCTCCAAATCCATATCTCTTCTTTCAATATCTGATCTCTAATTGGGTCACATATTTCACTGCAAAGGCCACTGTTGATTCTCTGGGCCAGTTCTTGTTTTCAGTCCCTGCCAGCATGACATCGTTCTGGGCTGTCTTCAGCTCAAACTCCAAGCTGACTCTTCACTATACCACCACCAGCCTTCCACCCTCAACACACACTCTTTGGCCTGGCTTCCAGCCCTGCAACCTCTTCAGACTGGCCCTGGATCAGACTCAGGGCCACCTCTCTACCTCCCACCAGTCTCATAGGAACGTGGTGGCTCACATGGTTAGAATTCTGGGCTGACAATCTGCAAGCCCTCGTTTGAGACCTGAGTGCTGCTCTGTGGTTGGGTGAGCTCCTGACACTTGCTCTAGCTCCTGCTGACCTAGCAGTTTGAAAGCTTGCAAATGTGAGTAGATAAATAGGTACCACTTTGGTGGGCTCATTTCGAGGACATGAAAGGAGTCCCCAATGAGCATTCCCCAGGCAACATGATCATACCGGTTAGTATTTTGAACATCTTGGTACTTCCAACATTTTACGACGATGAGCAGTCTGTTGTCCCAGTTGTGTCCCTCAGTGCTGCAGACAATGGCCCTAGATTGGCTCTCCCCCTCCACCCCAAATTTGTGGCCAGGGGTCTGCACTGGTTGGCAGGATGAAAATAAGAGCTTCAGCTGGCTCATGAATGCAGAGCAATCCCCTGTCTTTGCCATGAAGTTCTAGTTGGTCTCTTCAGCCTCTTGTCTCTGGTCAAGGAGCAGACCCAGCAGTAGCAAAGCAGGAAGAAAGTAGGATTAAGGAGAAGATTGAAGAAGGTGCTCCAAAAGGTATCCACCCCCTCACCCACCCAATTTCCCCATCCCTTCCCTTCATGGCAGGGAGCCTTGTGTCGTGCATCTGCTTTCTCCTGCATCTTGACTTTTTTTCTACATTTATTATCATTCTGAAATTGGGTCCTCTGTATGCAATTTAGGCCAAAATCAAGTAACAAATCTGAAAACCATTGTAGATTTCTACATTGAATGTGTTAATTTTTCAGATTTGTACTGATTCCAGTTTTTAATTCCTCACTCAACATTTTATTGAGAATTCAAAGAAGGCTCTCTTTTTGTATATTCCTGGCTTTCCTTTAATCCTCCTATGTTCCTGCCCCTGTTTACAGAGTCAAGAATCTACATAGGAAAATTATTATGAAGAATAGATTAGGTTCCTCATTCAATATCTTAGTATTTCAAATAATTCTGTGTATTACAGAACCTGGCCCTTGTTTTCCCAGCCCAGATTTCACTCACCTTGAATGTCGGGATAATTTGTCAAGAGTAGCAGTGCCCACATCAGAGTAGAGAAGATTGTCTCTGTTCCAGCAACAAAAAAATCACAAATACACTGAACCAGGTTCTCTTCACTGTAGGTAGAATTGGGGTCATTCCTGCTCTGATGTTTAAAATGGAAAATGAAAATTACAATGAATTCTATGCAACTTTTCTATAGTTATTTTAATCTCTGTGTAGCAAGTCATGAGAATAAATATAGTCATGTTGTTATATAGGAAAATCGATGCAAGAGAGTAAGTGGTAGGTTCACACTATAAAGACTATCTTAAAGTAGCCAAGATCAAAGAGAGATTTGGCTTTGGAAAAACTTGAATTCATTTCCTTTTATTTCATGGTTGGTTATCTCAGTAAATGCTTGCATGTGGAATGGTGATTATGGGTACCTACTAGAGTGAATCACAAAAATTCACAACCAGGATTATCTGCATGCATTCTAATTTAAAGTTATGCCCAAAAGTGATTATATGACTGCTCAAACTGCAAGCTTTTGTGGATATATATATTGGGCCACACTCTCTTCATTGTAGGTAGAGCTGGGGTCATTCCTGCTCTGGTGTTTAAAATGGAAAATAACAATGAATTCTATGCAGCTTTTCTATAGTTATTTTTGTCTCTGTGTTGCAAGTCATGAGAATAAATATATTCCTGGTAGTTATATTAGAAAATCAATGCATGAGAGTAAGAATTAAAGTGGAGGTTCACACTGAGTAAGACACCGTATTGAAGTAGAGCAAGATCAAAGACAGGTTTGGCTTTCAAAGAAGTTTAACACCTTTTGTTTTAATTTATAATTGATTCCCTGAGTAAATGTTATGCATGTGGAACAGTAATTAATGTGTACCTACTAGAGCAGTATTCCCCAAGTTTTGGGGGTTGGCGGCTGGGAGTGGGGGATAGGGGGAAAGAAGGGATGGTTTTGTGGGAGGTGAACAGTGTGTGCGTGCAAGCACAAACACTCGTTGCTTGCAAAAGTGGAGCCCTGAGCACCTATGACATTCGTGTGAGTAGGGTTATGAACACCCATGATCCTTGCAGCAATACTCAATTGAGTGAGGCAGTGCACACGCACACACACATGAACACTGGCCAGCCACTCACGCAACCTGATGGCCCACAGGTTGGGGACCCTGTACTAGAGTGAATCACAAAACATCACAAGCAGTATTATCTGCATCCACTCTAATCTAAACTTATGCCCAATATGATGAACATGACTGATTTCACTACAAGATTTTGTGGCTATTATGCCACACCATCACAATTTATGCAGTTTTTTAGAGTACATTAACCCTTGACATATAACTGTTCGTTTGGTGATCATCCAAAGTTTCAACAGCACAGAAAAATGTGACTTATGACCAGTTTTCATACCATTGCAGCATCCCCATGGTCAACTCAATGGATTCAAGAGCAACTAGTTGGGGCAAGTATTCATTTAAGTATGAATCAGTCAAAAGTCTCTACCTTGTTAATACTTTTCTTTCTTAATGCAACTTCTTTATAAAAAGGGGAAAGGAGCGGTAGGCAAACATTACAGGATGACAAACATAAACATTTCTAACTTCCCCAAGGAACCTCCCGTGTATAACAAGAGTCTAATATTGCAGAGATGCAATATAGTCCTTATTTAGAGGCAAACGGAATTTAGCACAAGTTAAATTCAGAATGGGAGTTGAATGTAAATATTCCTTGCCCAGGTATTGAACTACAATCAACCCATACCTTTTCCATCTGAAGAAAGTAGTGATCAATGAAATCTTGTGGCGTGTGCAGAGAGCCGGATTCCTTGTGTTTCTCTACTTCCTGCTTTGCAAAGGAATTGATCACCTCTACAGAAGCCAAGGCATCCTTGTGAGGGCCCGGGACATACTTCATTAATTGTGAGAACACAATAAACAGCTAATAGAAATGGAAAAGGAAAAGTTTGTTGGTTTATTCTCCACTACAACTAAACAAACACTCTCAGCAGCTCACAGAAATAGAAAGCACTTAATATCCAAAGAAAAATATTGCAAGCGCATTGAAACATGGCAAACAATGCATGGAGTCAGACCTCAAAAGTCCTCCAGAAAAGCTGTTTCCAAATTCTTCCAGAAAAGGATTATGTTAGAGGCAGATAGATTATTATCAAGCAAGAGACTCTATATCATTTCAGACAATGGCTAGCCAATCTCTTCTTTAAATTTTGGCCCCCTCAGAGAGGGCGCGCAACTTGGGTGTCCTCCTGGATCCACGGCTGACACTGGAAGATCATGTGTCGGCCGTGACCAGGGGGGCGTTTTATCAGGTTCGCCTGATCCACCAGTTGCGCCCTTTTCTGGACCGGGACGCTCTGCGCACAGTCACTCAGGCTCTCGTCACCTCCCGCCTGGACTACTG